GTGTGTACTGGTTTATATATTCTGGTGGGGACTTAAACCTGAATACACACAGACTCACGGGGACTCGTGTCACGGTGGGGACCTAAATTGTGGTCCCCACGGGTACAAAAGCTTATAAATCATACAGAATGAAGTTTTAGTTTTTATGTAATGCAGTGTACTCAAACATTTTTTCACCTTTCACCTAATAAATTTACTTGAAATACCCATTGAGATTTTAAGGTAATAAGATAATAAATAAGTAACACATTTGCATATTCCAGGTTCAAAAGTAATCTAAAAGTTGTCCGATTACATTTCCTAAAATGTGTAATGTAATGCATTAGGGGGAGTTGGTTTTTGGGTGATAGGCTTCAGTGAAATAAATAAATAAAAATGCATTACGTGTTTACACAGGCTTTATGTTGTCTTTTGTTTAGACATGCACAAAGCAGAAGAAATCAGGATGGGACAAACACTTTTTCACAGAACTCTGTATATGCAGCGCTGTTTTGTTGTATTATAAGTGTATAACAAAACTCCCTGCCGAAGAACGTCTCAACAAACAGTGTATTTGTGCATCTATAGCTGAAAATGAGCACACATGTTAGTATTTACTTCTAATAAATGCATTACTAGAAAAAAAAGATGTCGAACTGTTTGGCTTAGGTAAGAGTGGTTAAATGGCTGTGTTAATTCTTTGGAGAATTACATTACTTTTGGAAAAATGTGTCAAATGGATTGAGAAAAATTGTATTTATATACTATTATAGGTCTAGTGTTTATTAATATTTTGAATTAGCTTTTGTATTTTCAGTTTTCATTTATATTTTAGTTGTCATTTTATTTTTTTTATGTCATTTCGTTGTTTTTATTGGTTTTATTCTTTTTAATATTTGTATTTTGATTCATTTTTTTATTTATTTCAGTTTTAGTTTTAGTAATTTGACTTTTGTTTTAATTTCAGTTAGTTGCCAAGGCAACATTAAGTGTTTTAAGTTAAAATTTTCCATCTATTATTTCTATTTTATTTCAGCTTTATTATAAATTCTCAAGGAAATAGATAAACAAACAAAAAAATAAATAAATAAAGTTACACATGTAATTAAATAACTCAAAATTCCAAATAACTCAAATTATTTAATACATTAAATGACTTACACATTAAATATACTCATTATTTACTTTACATTAATACGTTTGGGAATTCTGGATAAAAATATTCGGTGTTTATAATATTTTAGCAGTAACAAAGTTGATGATTAAATGTACAATATGTCATATTTGTTATCATTTCATTTATTATTTGTTTCCAGTGTATGTTTAAAATTTAATTCAACCAGATTTAATAAATTCAAAATTAAAATATTTAGAGAATTGTGTCAGATTCTTCTTAAACTTTTTATTCAATGACAATCATGGTTTTGAGTACCACTTCCTTTTAAAATAACACAACATTTGTTGAGTTGCTAAATTCTGGATAATCCATAGATAATCTATAGCTGCTTTTATGAGCAAAACTGTATGGCACTGATGAGCTGAATATTCATGAGGGCTGGAACACTGAATATTCATGAGGGCTGGAGCACTGAATATTCATGAGTGACACAGGAGCCGCTCAGAGACGCGGAGAGAGAGAGAGAGAGAGAAAAGCTTGAGTTTACAAACTTTCCATCGGGACACAAACTTGCCGCACAGTTTCGCAGGTCGTTTTTCAGAGAGCCGGACTCGGGCTCGCACTCCCGGCAGTCCAGCACCGACTCCGGCAGCCTCCCGCCGCGCTGCCCGGTGGCGCATGTCCGCTCGCACTCCTCCCCGGCGTCCCTGCAGCTGCCCGCGGCGCTGGGCGCTCCGAGCCCCGGGAGACACCACTCTCACACCCGGCACCAGTCCTTCGATGTGGCCGAGGAGCTGCCGCTGCCGCCGTGCTGGGAGATGGCGTACACCCCCAGCGGACAGAAGTACTTCCTCAAGTGAGTGCTACTGCCTTAATTATGTGTGGATCGCCACATTCCTGCGTTACATTAGCGGAGCCATAAATCAGTTACTGTAATGTAGCCTATACGGGCTAATTGTGACCACAAAACCCTCATCCTCATGTAGTTCTAAACCCACGAGACCGTGCATCTTCACAACACAAGTTAAGATATTTTTGATGAGATCTGAGAGCTCTCTGACCCTCCATAGAGAGCAACTGAAATGTTCTCAGGTCCAGAAACGTAGTAAGGACATCGATAAAACAGTCCATGTGACATCAGTGGCTCAACTTTAATTTTGCCAAGCTACGAGAATACTTTTTGTGCGCAAAGAAAACAAAAATAACGACTTTATTCAACAATTCTTCTCCCAGAGTTACTGTCTTCCGCCATTTTAGAGAGTACCACGATGCAAAGTGCACACATGAGTCCTGGTGCTCTTCAAAATTGGGTGAACTAACCCTTGAATAAATACGCTTTCCATTGATGTGTGGTTTGTTAGGATAGGACAATTTGTTGGCTATTGCTACAAATATACCCCAGCGACTTAAGACTGCTTTTGTGCTCCAGGGTCACAATTTACTTTCTCGCTACTTGATTCATTTACTTGTTTTATTTATAAAGTAACACTAAAAGTGAACATAAAGCAATTGTCGCTTTATTTCACTCATGAATAAACTAAACGTGAACATCGAACCACAAACAAAATTTGTTTTTATTATTCCACTTTTAAGTGTTTTATTTACTTACACTCATCTAGAAACATCACCGCATTGTTTTTAAAAGCAAGAAATCCCAGACAGGTTATAATCTCTAAACCGGTTTCTGATCAGAATCAGTGCGCGTTCACACTGATGAAATCTCTGCCGTCACGTTTAGCTTTCGTTTCGACCTATGCACACACTCATGGGGAAGGCGTGGGCCAGAAACACACAAAACAGTATCTGGGTGTGGATCTGAAAGACAGAAAACACCCGGTCTTGCTTACTGTCATGTGCAACACATGTTTCTCACAGCAGGCCTATGATCAAGGCCTTCTCTCACCTTGATAAGGAGGTGTTTAGCATATCTCAGAGAGAGCCTATCTCTCAATGTAAATGTGTGTTTTGACTTGCGTCTCTGAAGGAATGAGACAGCTATTCTTCTGCGGCCCTGGGGACTCTGCTCTTATCTGATTCAGTAGGGTTGATTAGTCACCAGGGTTGTGATCACCTCGGTGGGGCGTCGACTGTCGACAATCAGATCACTGATTGTGTTGAGATGATAAACACTTTAATGTGGCAAAACCTTATTTGCTGGCACCAGAGACCAACGCCAATTCTCACCTACAAGTTAAAACAATTAGTGGCCCGCCTCTTTCCTACTAGAAAGCCTTCGGCTGCTCTTTGGGTTGTAGTTGTCCTGCTTGTGGATGAACGTGGATGGTTCTCAAATCTCAGTTTTACACTGGAAACCACGCGGCGAAGTAACACAAAGTAAAAACTTTTATTCGTTTAACATGTGAAGCAAACACTGGGCTAAATATTGCATTAGTATTAGCTGTATACAGATCAATTTGCATCAAAATACTGTGGAGTTTGTTTGGACACACTGGTGTCACAACAAATGATATTTAGAAGTTGAGATACTTATTTAGTTTAATTGTTATAATGTGCCCAATTATATGGTTAATATTTTATTTTTTCCCCTGCTGTATATGCAACCCAGAAACCTGTTTTTGGGTCATAATCCATCAGCTGAGAAACACTGTGCAAAAATAAATAAAAATACATGGAATAATTATGACTTTTTAAATGTTTTTGAAAGAAGCTTCTTCTGCTCATCAAGTCTGTATTTATTTGATTAAAAATACAGTAAAAACAGTAATATTGTGACATATTATTACAATTTAAAGTATTTGTTTTCTATGTGAATATATGTGAAACTGTAATTTATTTCTGTGATGCGCAGCTGAATTTTCAGCATCACGACTCCAGTCTTCAGTGTCACATGATCTTCAGAAATCAGTATAATATGCTGATTTAATGCTCGAGACACATTTCTGATTATTATCAGTGTTGAACACAGCTGTGCTGCACAATATTTGTGTGGGCATGCCATTCAAAAGTCTGGTGTAAGATAAAAAAAAAAGACTTCTATTCAGAAAGGATGCATTAAATTGATCAAAAGTGACAGTAAATGCATGAATAATGTCACATAAGATTTCTATTTTTAAATAAATGCTGTTCTTTTGAACATTCTATTTGAGTCGTCAAAGATTCCAAGATTGATTCCATCACTATTTCAGCTGTGTGTCACAGGAATAAATTATATTTCAAAATATATTCAAATAGGAAACAGTTCTTTTAGACTGTTATGCTGTTTTTAATCTGCAGCAAAAACATACGAAATATTAAATTCATATTTTGACTGGTAGTGTAAATACATCCTCTGTATGGGAATTCCCATGCTCTTTTATCAGATTATATCAAGCAAACCCCATTTATATGGGGTCATACTTAAAAATGCAGTTTCGTAACTTTACAGATTCACGTCGATGCTTTGATGGTGTGTTAATTGTGAGGCTCATTTCAAATGGCGTTGGGCTTTACTGGGACAATCCGACTGCAGCTCTTCTCTCTTACGTTCCCTTCCTTCTCTTGCCCGAAACTCTTGGTGTGAAAGCCATAAGAAAACGTGCCAGGGCTTGCCACACATTCAGCGGACACCTCCGCCACCAACAAAGCAGCAGACGCGAGCTTCACACCGCCCTGCAATTAAACAGTCAGGAGAAGCCAAAGCGGCCTGTCAGTAATGATCACATCCAGTCCCACCTCCGTCAATAAACGTGCTGCATCTCTTCCTGCTAACGGCACGGATGTCTATAGGATCCTTTCTTTTTCTCTTTGGAAGTTTGAAGTTTGTTGAGACTCAGGAAGTGCATATTTTGTACCGAGAGAGACTCTTCTTCGTTGGATTGTTGCAGCTGTTCCTTTGCCCCCACTATTAGGGCACACGTATCTCTTTCCAGCGTCACACAACCCCCCTCTTTCTGCTTCAACATCTCTCTGGATATCTTTGTTACAACTTGCAGTTCAAGGCGCTAGAGCTCGGCTGTTTCTGCAGAAATGATTGAGCTGATTGATAGCGAAGAGCTATTTCGTACTGCAATCTCATGAAAATTCGTGACTATTTTATGTGTTGCTGAACTCGTATGATTTGGTTTGTACGACCGACTGACAGTCATGCTTACTTTTTTACTAAAAATCATATGGTTTTTGTGCGTTTTTAATCAAACCTGCATTTCTTCACCTAACTTCATGAAACAGGAGATAATTAAAGGATCGCCCTCCAGCTTTAGTCCAAACAAGTGAGGCAAAAGAATTGAAGTGTTTATAGTTCTTTCTTCATGCAAAGGCAGTCTGTACTTATGCCTCCTCTTGATGCCACGTAAAGCACGAGAAGCTCTTGCCTTCAGGCTCTGTTGATGCCCGTTTTTCTCCGTTATGTTGAAGATAAGCGGTGAATAAGTTTTTATCGCTGCCAGCTCGCGTCTTACACAATGTTCACTTTTGTTTGTGTGAAACCTTTTTTGAAGTATGCTTTCTTTCTTTGCCTGGAAACATGAGATACATGATTGTCATAAAACCTGCCTGCATCTCACATATTAACCCAAAATAAAATAAATAAATAAATGAAATTATAATTAAGCTTATTTTAGATTTATCATTATATTTAGTACATTTTAAATGTAAAAAAATGCATTGTAACATTTTCCCCATTCCCATTATGGTAGTCCATAAAAATCCCATTCTCATCCAGACTTTTTTGTTTTGAATTCCCATTACTCTGTAATACAATGTTTTTACTGTTGTGTTGTTTTGTTTTGATTTTTGTTTTGTGTTTTGTTTTGCTTTGCTTTGCTTTATTTTGCATTGCTTTACTTTGCTTTGGTTTGTTTTGTTTTTTTTGTTTTGCTTTGCTTTGTTTGGCATTGCTTTACTTTGCTTTGGTTTGTTTTGTTTTTTTTGTTTTGCTTTGTTTTGTTTGGCATTGCTTTACTTTGCTTTGGTTTGTTTTGTCTTTGCTTTGCTTTATTTTGCATTGCTTTACTTTGCTTTGGTTTGTTTTGTTTTTTTTGTTTTGCTTTGCTTTGTTTGGCATTGCTTTACTTTGCTTTGGTTTGTTTTGTTTTGTTTTTTGTTTTGTTTTGTTTTGTTTTGTTTTGTTTTGCTTTGCTTTGTTTTGCATTGCTTTACTTTGTTTTGTTTTGTTTTTTTTGCTTTGCTTTGCATTGTTTTGTTTTGTTTAGTTTTTTTGCTTTGTTTTGCTTTGCTTTGCTTTGTTTTGTTTTGTTTTGTTTTTTTTGCTTTGCTTTGTTTGGTTTTGCTTTCCAACTCAATGCAAAGACAGCACAATAAAAACTACAAGTATGTATTCACTTTACAATTTAAATAAAATATTTTTCACATTACAGCAATGAGAATTTGTAGGGAAAAAAATTGTTCCGTTTTTATGAAAATAATGTCCGAGTGCGAAAACTTAATTGTAAAGCTTAATTGTCATCGTCCAAAATATAATTTCTACACAAATATTTTTTTATAAATATTTTTTAAATATCTTTTATATATTTGTATTATATCTCATTTCTAATAACATTATTTTTTTATTTTTATTATTTCGTTTTTTTTGGAGAGAAATATAACCAGGACATGTTCTTGACAGGTTTCGTGAGATTCACCCATATAAATGAAAATGTAGCACAGACTCTTTATTACCCTCCAGAGGTTATTATCAGTTGTTTGATATGGCCGCTGGCAGTGATGACGCTATATTGGTAAATAAACTCCGAGCAGTTGTGGGTTTGATATATAACAGTCGTGTTGGAAGCCTGTGATGTAGAGAGAGGAACATTTCGCTTGATCCAACTCACTCTGTAAACTAAACGCGTCTGCTGTAGCAACTGGAGGTTTATTGAACAAAATCCTGCTCAACTGTTACTGAAATCCAGATGTGCT